GCAGTACATACGATTGGAGGAATATAAATTGTTTCGGAGAAGAATCGGGGCTAAACCCGGTCTCTAGCTGCGAGCCGAGTTGGCCACAGAGACGGTCGGCGACGTGATTTCCGATGCCGAGCTTGATTTTGTATGGTACTTGAAGAACCAAGACAAAACGAGTGGAAGTTCTGGCTACAGGGGGTATATGTTGTAGCGAGGATGCTTTCTCCCGTAAATTTAGCAATCAGCGGGATGCTGATCGCCATTTTTTTTTTCCGGTTGATAGACTCGAGAGTGCAAGCTTAAGGTCCATTTGTCCGCTCGTCGTCGAGCGGATTACAAATACTCAATGGTGTTCAAGAGCAGTTTGGGTTCGTATTCCAGGATTACATACAGAAAGAGATGATTCTCAGGCATCCTTTCAGTAGCTGTATAGGATGAAGTATGATAAGATAAAGACTTGACTGTCTCCTTTTGGGGCTAGCATGGGGTCCACGCCGCGTAAGAATGAGAGGTATTGGGGCGCCAAGGTTGTTGTTGATGAACTCTCAGATCTCTCTTGGTTGGTTGTGTTTCTAAGCTGTGCCTACAATGTAGAGAAGATATTAGCACCGATTACTGCAAAGGCTATAAAAACAGAAAGGTATCAGTGCGAGCGATACAGAAACATTTGCGCGCTCCCTACTTTTAATGATGGAGATTCATTACTAGCTCGTGGCAAGAGGCTTGAGGTTGGAGTGACGCGCTTCTTCAGGGAGTGTGCAAGATTGGGTGGCAGAAGTGAATGTAGACTGGAGCTTAACAGCCACGTAGTAGGTGTATAGGCAGCTTATAGATTTGTATAGCAGATCTATCGATGCTGTCAGAGTCTATTTTACTTTGTTTACACTGTTAGAGCAGAGGGGTGTCCAGAAACCTGACGATACCTGAAGAGGAGCGGCAGCAACTAAGAAGATTATTAAAGTACAGGCGTGGCGGGTCATAATTTATGCTTGAATTACTCGTGGGGCGATCCGCGACCAGACGACGCTCCCGAATATGGTTTTGCTCCCACTTAGCAGTTGCTGGGCTGCTCATCACAATGGGGTTTGAGGTGAATGGGAACCTGCGAAGGGCTTCAGGGTTGTAACTGCAGGAACGCAATTGAAGATCTTGCTACTGTGGATGTTTGGAATTTCCGTCGAATGTCCGACTAGAAAACAAAATCTTTAACTTAGTTTTCGAAGTTAGGAGCGAAGAGTGCTGCTAGTGTGTTGACCTCCTGATGGCAAGATGGCTTTCGTAGATCAAGTATTCCTTGCCCCAACAAGGGACTTGTGGTAATCGGGTAATGCTATTCCTTTTTGCACTGAGCGCTAAACATGGTGTTCACCGGCCACGATAAATTGTGGCATGCCGGCGCTGCATGTCGGGCGCTCGCCAGGGAGGGTATTAGGAGCGCACGTTACGGATGTCCTGGTAGGGACGGCGAAGGGTGGCCTTTTCGTATGAGACATTAAATATAATTCGTGTTATTTTGACGGAAGCAATGGAGCAGGATTGGGTAGCGCTCGAGTTGTGATAGTTGGGTATTTTAGGTATATCGTCAATTCCCTCACGCTCCCTCCTACTAAGGAAGATTAGATTTGCTATCATTTTATTTCTACTTTTTGCATCATTTTTTAAATGCATTTGTTGCTGTTAGGGATTTGATCATTTTACATGATGCATTCTTAATAGGTACCCTTGTTAAGAAATAACATTTGTTACTAATAGGATGTTCTGCTCACAGAATTAATGGCCAATTGAGCCAAGATTTGGCTAGAGTAAGGTGTAATGTCAGCCGTATGCTGAAGTTATGTCAATCTACGGTATTCTGTGATGGGCTACTCAGACCGCGATGTGTCAGGGATCAAGGGAATTGGAGTCTTATGATTGCAAGAGTAACTAAAAATGGCCAGATTTACCTGAGAAGAGAGAGTGGCGGGCCAAGCCCGATTCTGCAAGGTGGTTGTATACTTGCCACCGTGATGAATCGGAGGAAGAAGCCATCCGATTACTCCAGCTACTAAATCGCAACAGCTGCAACTGCTGTTCATGGCTGAACTGCGTTTTGCTGCATGAATTTGTCAAATCATTTTATTGGACCATATTGTCATAACCACGCAGATAGCTAGAGTCCTGTTTTTTTTAATTGTTCGCGCTTGCATTCGAATTGTTAAGTTCAGTTAATTACAGATCTAAAACTGAAGGTTACTTGCATTGAGGAAATATTGTGCCGTTTACATTGATTGGACGGTACTTGAGGCAAGTTTTGCAAAAATAAACTGTGGGAACTTTTGCAACTGCTGAACTACCTGTCAGATGGGCATAACCAGGATCTTAGTTTTTTTTTCTGTTTCTAAGCCCCGCCCATTACGTCAAGCATCATTTTGGTTGTGCGATTACTAGCAATAATTCGAGTTTTTTAACTAACAGCCGTTTATGCTGTTATTGTTCGCGTGATTTGTTTGTTTTATTATGATCACACATCCGTGGCATTAATATTCCGCAAATATTTTGTTATTGAAGTTCTATAACTTTGTTTGGACATAATAGATGGCGTGAAAGCATGACATGCAAAGCTCAAAATTTTGTGTAGTAACGATTGAATCTGAAACGTCACAGTTCAATGTGAAGTTACATAAAAGCAAATTTTAAATTTGAGAAATGCAAATCACAGAAAATACAATTCAAAAGTGGCAATGAACAAATAATCACCATGACCCTTGAAACACAATTCAGGACAGGAACATTTATAAAACTATAATATTATAACTGAAAATTTAATTGAACACCAGAATAATGTCTTCCTGTGGTGGCTTCGGTTTGACCAGATGGCGGTTTGGTAGACGGGCAAGATTAGTATGCAACAGCATTAATGTGTGAACACTTGTTTTTTTTCTTTTTTTCCACTTCAGACAAGTGCTCGCGTTGTGTGTTTTCTCTTGTTGCCTCCTCACCGTTTCATTTTGTTGATTCAAGCAACAAACCAAGGTGAGATAAGTATTTTCCGTGTCCCCTTCTTTAGGGACGAAATAGGTGGAGGTTAGCCTTTTTAGGGTAGGTTTGGTCTCAGATTGTTGATCCCCTGCCAGACATAAGACAAGAAGACAAATGTTATAGTGTATGCAAATGTATGTGGCGAAACGTTGTTGGGGAGAAGCTTTGCCGCTACGAAAGCATGATGTTCGTGGAGGTTTGAAAAATCGATATGGGGCCCTTCTCTGTTGGGTTGGCAAGCTAACACAATGGGAAGAATGATAAACGTATACGAATTCCATTTTCAATCACTGGCTGCGCATTTGCAAGGATTTCGAAAAGGAGAGTTCACCTAATATAAGATTTTGAAGAGACAGCGTCGCCTAGAAAAAAGACATTCGTAACGTTATCGTATCGAGTTGTATGGCGGCGAGTCAGACATGTCAAACCAAGAAAAGATTAGTTTCTTTACATGTTGAGAGAAGAAAAAGTACATTTGTAGGAGTTTGAAGATAATTTATATTATTGAGATTTTTGTAAATGTCGCCATCCATTTTGAAAAGCCTATTGTGTCGTAACAATAGAATTCCTAGTTTGCGTGTCTATTTTGTTAGGTAAAATTAATGCCGATTGAAACTAGTCCATGGGTTTAATGGCACGGCATGGTAGGTGGTACACAAGCGTCCTGACAGGCACAAAAGAACCGGTGGATAAACATACAACATTACTAGCAACCAGAAGATTTGGGAGATCTTAATGCAGTTGAGGGTGATTGCCAATCTATGTGATGCAAAGTTGTAAAAGAAATGATGTCTTCTGCCATAACTATGGGCAGAAATATGGGCGTTCAGTAGGATAGCCGCAGGTCTCGCTCAGCCGGGTGAGAAATTAATACTATCGCATGTTTGCGTCGTTGGTTTGTCTGATCATTTATCTTTCTTTCTTTTTTCCGGCCGTGGCCAGAAAGGCCTTTCAAGAGCTTTATTAAGTTAATCACAATCAGAGGGTGTTGAGAGCATCAGTTGCTAATTGTTTAACCGTTCATTTACCCGTGGGCTATCGGGTTTAATGATTC